AATCGTACGTGCGTACATACGTACACATGCACCGTGACAATTCACGCAGACCCACGTCGCCTGGCGCTTTATCAACTTACTTTATTGTAAATCTATAAATAAACGCCGGACTCCTTGGCGGTCGCCCCGCATCTTCCCTCGCCGCATCTTTTCTCCGTTGCGGAGACGCAACGGGGACTGTACGGAGGGAGGAGGGTGGTGGGGACCTCCGCGAGAGCTGCATCCCTGTCAAAGTAGAGAGAGGCGTATTTTCGCCTTTTCGTGGGTGGAGGGATGGCGGGCCCGGTGAAGTCTCGCGGGGGAGGAGGGGACGTATCGTTTTGTCGTGTATTTGCAGTAGCGGCTCGGTGCCGTTTGGCACCGGGTTATTAAAATAGTCCGATATAGGCCGGCACGATCTTTCGCGACGCACGCGGCTGGCGGTTTCTTAGATCCGGAAATTTGTCTCTATTAATGCTTCGAGAAAGCTTCGCATAATCTACATACGACACGCATATTGAAATGATAGATTTTTTTTTTTTATTCTCGCAACAACTTTCGTATGTTAAAATTTACCCATGTTTTAGAGAAAGAGAAAATTAAGTCAACATACTCGCTGCATTGCGTGTGCTTGTGAAGGAAAGAAATGAAGAGAAGAATTTTGATTCACCCGTTATCTCTTATATGTATTCTTATTATGTAATATATCGCGCTCCTAAATACTCTCGATACTTATCGGTATAAACATAGAGGTAAACTTTCCTCGTCTCTTTTGTTGATTATTTGGGGATACCGGTCGCTTTCAAAATCTGGGTGAATCCAAAAATAACCAACGACTATAGGAGACGATATATCTAGGATGCCGCAGAAATATCCAGCTTGAACGAAGTTTTAAACTCACGGGCGAAACTTCCAAAAAGCTTTTACTGGTTCCCGTCCGATGTGTACGCGGCAGTCCTGTTTATACTACCGTCTCAACTTTTATATCAATTCTTCAGGATAGGACAATAGACTGTGCTTGCTTTTCTAATGGACGGAATTCTTTGCTTTATTCTTTTTCGCATAAGGATTCAGGTTTACGTTTTAAGGTCTCCTCTTTTAGAAGCTGAATCTTAGGCTCTTTCCTCCTGAAATATCTATCCAATTTTATATTAACGATATAATTTTATAATACAATTTTTACATATTATGCGTAGAGATCCAAAGAATTTTTTCAGGCGAATTTGTTACGTTTGCTCGTTGGTCGATACGCAGGGGGTAGATACTATGTAAGATAATTGCAAATTGTCATAGAAAAACGCTTGACACGCGACGATATATAATTTATCGGTCGGGGGATATAGAAGCCCCGACCTCGGTTCTACCGTTAAATGATGTGCTGCTGCATCGTCGGGGTCGGCTATAGAATAGCGTTCCGTACAAATTTCGAGCTCACGTCTCGCTTTCCGCATTCTCTTCAATCCATACTCCATAGAATTCACTCGTTCATCTTTCGCATGGAAAAGCGAACTATTAATACCGTTAATTTTCGTACGATATCGAACGAATATGTGACGAGAGGAACCGCTTGCAGGATATAAAATGTAGTATACATATAAAAATAAAAATTGTACGACTGAATTGAAATAAACGCGACGTTAAACAGTTTTGTCAAGATCGATATACTTTGTTCTTAAAATAGTGTTACAAAATTAAATTTTATAAAACGATCACTTAATTGAAGAATTATAGAATTATAGAATTGTGTAGAAATAACTCTTGTCAATACAATTAATTCGCAATCTTTATTCTACGCATGTCGCTCTTAATCGAATTAAATCTAGAATCCTTCAGTAAATTCTTTCTACTTTCTGCTGCTCCAATTAGGAGAATGTTGATTAATAAATCAACAAAGTAGGTTCCGCTCGCTCTTCGTTGTTTCGTTTTATTAAGAAAAAAGAAAAGAAAAAAGGAATATGACGTTCGCAGGGGCATCTCATGGTATCTTAAAAAAATGGATCGATTATTTAACTGCAAACGAGAGTTGATAAGCAAAGAAAGAGAAGGGAGGGGGGAGGAGACAGAGAAAGAGAGAGAGAGATGGAAAAGTGCCATTGAGCGGGCCAAACGCGAGAATATTAATGCGATTATAAATAAACTCGGGGGGAAAAATCCAGCGAAGCGCGCCTCTGCACGTCGCCGGCCGAGAAACCGCGGTAGGAAGCCGCACGGTTAACTTCGGCTCTCGCGTTCCCGGTTTATACACGAGACTTATACACAAACGGGCCCTCCACTTTCCCCTTTTTCGCCCGTCATTTCCTTCCTTTCTTCCCTTCCTCCCTGGATCCCTCGATAGATATCCCGATAGAATGAGTCGGGTGCGACGATGCGACAAAAAACACGGACAATCCCGATGGATCTCCGGTTCCCGAGGAAGTGACTCCGCGCACCACCACAGAGATTGAACACCGTCGTCGTCTCGCGGTGATTAAACGTTCGCCGAGAATTGAGAGATGTACGGAGAGAAGCGACCGGGTGTAGAATCGTCTGATTACGAGATGCGATTACGGTAACATGACAGGCACTCGGTAAGAGATTTGTGAACGTCGCGGTGATACATAACAGAATATGTACAGAGAGAGGAATACTTTTTCAATCGAACGTAGTGATATGTTAAGATGTGTGATAATTGATGTAATGTGTGTGTATGTGTGTCTATTTTAATAATTTTCGTCATTAAAAAGAGATAAAAGCAAAACCTTGGCAACATATTACGGGAAAAATATTTGTGACGGTTTTTTCACTTAATTTATATTAATCTTATAACGTGTATTAAATCTCGGATTATGTATCACATTAGCTTTTTTTTAATATTTCGTCACTCTTTCAAAATGGTAAGAAATTATAAACATATCGAGCGCTCATTTAAAAATTACATCACTTCCTGACGTCAGTCTTTTTTTATCGTGAAGATGATGTGGATGTAAAGTCCACATGATCCAAATATCTAGATAGATGACATACATATATCTAACGTGTCACTTTTCATTGGCGCATTTTTTTTTTTTTTTTT